GACAATGCTTCATAAGTTTTGGTTCTGTCATTTCCACGTAATGCTTCTGTGTTGTTCGTTAAATACTGACTTCAAACAGATTTCCTTGAGGCGGTGAAAGGAATGACCTAATCAATCACCAAGTGCAGTCTTGAAAGGGAGAGGGGTGAAGGAGGGAATAATTAATATGCCCTGAACACTGGCAATTGTATGACTACTTTTTTTTTAAAGATTGGCACCTGAGCTAACATCTGTTACCGATGTTTTTTTTTCTTCTTCTTCCCAAAGCCCCCCAATACATAGTTGTATATTCTACTTGTAGGTCCTTCTGGCTTTGCTATGTGGGATGCCGCCTCAGCATGGCCTGATGAGCAGTGTCATGTCCGCACCCAGGATCCAAACCGGGGAAACCCTGGGCTGCCAAAGCGGAGCATGCAAACTCACTCAGCCATCAGGTCCATCCCCTGTATGACTACTTTTATGCTTATTTTATATGAGGGCAATGGGGGCTCGGAGACATTCAGTTATTTTCCTAAGTGAACGGTAGATGTGGACTGTCAATCCTGAGTGGTTTAATTCGAGAGCTCATGCTCTTTGCATCCCATCTACCTGCCTCCCGAGGTTCTGGGGCCCAGAGTAAGCAGACAACAAATGGCATCTAATTATGGCCTGTGCTTATCTTGCCGTAACACATGCAGCAGCCAGGTAACTTCAGATTCTCCCTCCCTTCGCCCCCCAGAAAGGTCAGGGCTCTGGGTCTGTTGGATGAGGGTCAAGAAAAGCTGACAAGCATCTGGTGGGGCAGTGTGGGATTGGGCAGCATACACAGGCCAATGTGTCTGGGGCTACACATGCGGCCAGGCACCCAGCCGCCAGGGACGCCTCAACCTTCCTGATGCTATTGCCCTCAGCTTCATGCCTTCGTGGGGGATGGAAGCCTGTTTTCCACAAGCTACCGTGGAACTTTGTAAGCCTGATACCTTGGAGCCCTCTGTCTTTGAGTGCTATTTGGGTTGCTTGGATATTAGTTATTCCTATGATATCATGAAAATCCATTCAACGAATATTAACTATATGCCTGGCATGTGTTAGGGGCTAGGATTCAAGATGAATAAGAAACAGTCTCTGCCCTATAGGAACTCCCTGTCTGGTGGGGGGACCATGAAGTAACCGTGGTAGGAAAGGCCTGTGAAGGAGTGCGAGGAGAGCCAGAGCGGGCATGGACGACTGCAGGAAGACTCAAGCGAGGCTGACATCTGAGCTGGGCTGGGCAAGGTGAGCTTCCCAGGTGAAGAGGGGCAGGAAGGGTATTCAGACAGAAAATGCCCAGCACACGGGGAGAAGGCTAGTGTGCAGGATGTGTTAGGAAAACTGGTCAGAGCTGGATAATTATTAAAGCTTATTTGCCTTATCCTGTAGATGGTGGGAGCCTCGGAAGGTTTCTGAGAAGCAGAAAGATGCAATCAGACCTATATTTTAAAAATCACCCATAAAATAGTGTGAAGACAGACTGAAGGGGAACGAAGCCAAGGGAAATGTGTTAGAAATACTGTCACAGCACAGAAGGTGATGACAGTGACCTCAATTTGGGTAGTGGCAGTGGGAAAGGAGTGGGGGACAGGCTCGAGGGAAGCCCTGGCTGGGTGTCAGAAGAGCACGTGCCTGTTGCTCTGCTGTCTCATTAGCAGCTTCCATGGCTGTCCCGGTTCATTGGAGAAACAGCTTTCCCACGAAAATGTCACTGACTCTTCACTGGGTAACCCTGGGCAAATAACGTAACTTCTCTGTGCCTTATCTGTAAAATGGGCCTAACATCATGTAACCAGCAGATGTTACGAATGTTAAATATAACAAGTACACTGTACCGCAGATAATGAATTCTCAATACGTGTGACTTATTTTCACTTTCCCATAATTTTCCTCCTTTTAAAATAAGATTAAAACAATATACTGTCCTGCTCTCATCAGATAATTGGGTTAATATTCCAATTTGAGATAAATTTCCTCATTTTTCTGGGGAGGATTTTCTTCTTGTGAGATGTAGGTATGTAGATGTGGGTATTTATTTCACTCTAGTGTCAAGATAAAAATAGATACTATCCTTCAAAAGAAGGCTAGAGCAAGTGGAGCGTGTTTATAAAGATTTATGTATGGAGCTAAATTAATTCTTACGAACTGAGGTATTTGTAATCATTACTTCACTTCATTCTGAGAACAAGTACAAATGAACATGTCAAAAACGATGACAATTATTATGCTTTTATAATCTGATTTCTTACATATTCTAATTATATTCTTTTAATTAGCAACCAGTCTTTGTTCGTTACTTCTCCAAAGTGAGACTGAACTCAGTTCCTAATGCAAAACAGTTTGTAATTTTTATGTAAGATGACACGCTATTAAGTAAAAAGAATGACAATTGTTTTTCCACTAAAGACTTAGTAATGATAAAAGAGAACTTAAGCAAATCACTGAGCAAGTATCTAATTTATAAAGCGTCTTGAAAAAGTCACTGTGTCATCTCTATCACATTCATCGGATTCAAAGTAAAGATGACACTAAAACTGCCTGCATTTCAACTTTGGAAATTTATCCAACATTTTGACCAGGCAAGGGTAAAGAGGAACAAAGATGGCACATTTCAAGAGGTTTTAAAAATGGAGTTGTGAACATCTTATTAGGACCGCGTTGGAGAGCTCGTTCATATGTATGAGAGTTGTAATAGTGCTGGACAGCACGCGTTCAGCTCACTCGCGGGTCCAGGCTCGTGTACCACGTGCTTCACACGCATCAGATCACGGAACGTGAATGATTGATTGCCTTGCTGCACTGGAATTCTCTTTTGCATGATGCCATGTCACCACCTCTCTTGCTCCCAAATTTAATTTTACTACCTCAGCATGATACCACTTCATGGGGATAAGGGCATTGTATATGAGGTTGGACAAAGATTTACAGAAAAAAAAAAAGGGAGTAACAGAGTCTTGGGCAGTTAGAAGTAGCTAGTCTCCATGACCCCACTTTACAGGCTCTGTGTGTCTTTTATATACTAGAACAATTACATGTTTTGTTCTTGGAGATACACACTGAAGTATTTAGAGTAATGTGTCTTGGTGTCAGCAACTTACCTTCAAGAGGTTGAGAAAAAAAGTCATGAGCACATACAGAGAGAGAGAGAGAGAGAGAGAGAGAGAGAGCGGGAGAGGGAGGGAGGGAGAGACTGTGATGACAAATGAAGCAAATGTCGCTGTGTCTAGACTATCGGTGAATCTGGACGAAAGGTATACGGGTTTTCATTGGACCATTCCTCCAAATTTTCTTTACATTTGAACATTTTCACTATAAAAAATTAGAGGAAACTCCCCCCAAACTAAAAAAACATATGTGATGAAGAACTTTTTAAGATTTAGCAGTAGTTGAAGGGCAACAGAATTTGTACGTTCTATGGATTTTGACAAATATATAATGTCATGTGTCCACCATTATAATATCATACAGAGTATTTTCACTGCCCTAAAAATCCTCTCTGCTCTGCCTATGCACTCCTCCCTCCCCCTAACCCCTGGCATCCACTCAGCTTTTTTACTGTCTCCATAGTTTTGTCATTGAGTTGGAATCATATAGTGTGTAGCCTTTTTAGACTGGCTTCTCTCATTTAGCAATATGTATTTCAGATTCCTCCACTTTTTTTCAAGGCCTGACAGCTCATTTATCTTTATCATTGAATAAAATCCCATTGTCTGGATAAACTACAGTTTGTTTACCCATTAATCTACTGAAGGATATCTTGGTAGCTTCCAGTGTTTGGTGATTATAAATAAACATTTGGGTGTAGGCGTTTGTGTGGGCATAAGTTTTCAACTCCTTTGGGTAAACACCCAAGAGCACAATTGCTAGACTGTGTGATGAGACTATGCTTAGCTTTGTAAGAAACTGACACACTGTCTTCCAAAGTGGCTGTACCATTTTGCATTCCCACCAGCAGTGAATGAGCGTTTCTGTTGCTCCACATCCTTGCCAGCATTTAGTATTATTAATTTTTGGATTTTAGCCATTCTAGAAGGTACGTTGTGGTATTTCATTATTGTCTTAATTTGCAATTCTCAGACATATAATGTTGAGCATACGCTATTTGCCATCTGTATGTTGCCATCTCTACTTTGATGAGGTGTCTGTTCAGATCTTCTGCTCTTTCTAAAATTGGGTTGTTTTCTTATTGAGATTTGAATGGCTTTTTTTTAAGCGGGTCATCTCATGAACAGAGTCAGGGTTCAAATGTATTCATTTGTTTGGTAGCTATGGCAGAAAATGCACTTCCCTTCTCCCTTAGTAACAGAACCCTGACAATGTTGTAAATGAGGTCCCTAGCTTAAAATACTTAGTATTTCAGAATTGCAGTTAGGGGTGGTCAGTGTGACATGGGTCTGGCCAATAAGAAACAAGCAGAAGGTGCTGGTCGGAGCTTCCTGGAAAGATTATTAAAGGGCAAGACTTGGCTGGCATGCACCTCTTTGATCTTTTGCCTGTTGTGTTACCCATCCCCCTACCATTTTCCAGAATGTGATACAATGCCCATGAGGGGAGCAGCCATCTTGTAGGATGAAGACAAAGTCACATGTCAAGGACAGTAGAGGCAATGGATAGAAGGAGCCTGAGATAGATTGACGTTGTGGAGACGTTGAAGAAACCCCAGGGCTCTCTCCAGACTTTTTATGTGATAAGAAGCACCCCCATGTGGTAAGCACTTTAGTCAAGGTTCTGTCACAGGCGCCTAATTCACTCCCTGATTCGGCAACATTTTTCAAGCACTATTAAGTGTGAGGCCCCCTAACAAGACTACTCTGAGCAATTTTTATTTAAAGGACTGGCTCACAGAGGCACTATATTTGAAAGAATTTCTCTATATTATGGACACAATACTAAGGATAGAGTTATAATTACTACATGTTCAGCAATGTACTAGGCATTATGGGGGCCGGAAACAGGAGAATAAAATAAGGACCTTACCTCATGGAACTTACCATCTAATTAGAGAGCTAAGACTGGCCTACATGATACAATCCCAAACACCTCAGGACAGTATGATTAAGGGCTAATAGTGGATGCCAAACTCAGTGTAGCAGCAGTTCATATAAGGCGGGGTTACTGAAGAGGGAAGAAGCAAAGGAAATGTGGTTAGCAACCTTGAAAACACACTCTGGGTAGCCTATACCTTCACATTTCTGAGCTCTAAATCAGTGACCTAAATATAGACATGGAAGCTGTTTTCCTGGGTAACTGAAGACAAAATGAAGGAGAGTCATTTTAATTTGCATGCCAATTCAGCTTTGAATTCAGCAGAAATTTATCACTCTGGTTACAATATTTCAAATACAGGGACACTGTAATCATTCACTAAAATCCTGTTTACCCTATTAATTACCAGTATATTTCATGGCGACAGGATGTGGAAACTAAGTATATGTCATCTTAAAATAGAGCTTTTAAAATCCTTCCTTTGGAAGCAGTGTAGATGAACAGATTACACAGGAAGACGGATGCGTGATTTTTCCTCTGCATTTCTGGTTCTGCAAACTTTGCTAAAATTGTTATCACCTCTATCCATTTTTCCTACCTTTTAGTTGCTGTTACAGCTGGAACAGGTGTGGATAGCTATCACACGTCTGTAAAGACAAGAGCAAGACAACCTAAATTAGTTTTTATTGGACTCTTTATTGGAATTTGAACCTTTTTCCTAAAAGTTTTTCAATTTAGTGATCTTGTTTGTAACTAATAAAGAAGAAAACCACGCAGATAAAATAAAGACAACATTTCTATTTGATGTTTTTAAACTCCTTTCCTTCAGGACCTAGGAGAACAGACTTGGCTTTCCTTTCTTTTCTTCTCTTCCTTTCCTTTCCTCCTCCCTTCTGAAGTTTACGCCGGAGTCATCAAGTACCACCTGGCTATGTTTCCATTGTCACTGGGCTTAGCTTGGGAGTTTCAGGGATATCCTGTATCTAATAGTTACTGTAGATTTTCTCACATCTGGGGTAGACGGTGTTTGGAGATAGGGTGAAGAAAAAGGGAAGAATCTGTAGAGGGAGATGAGAAGATTTTGGCAGAATGTTAACGGATTTGAGAAGGGCATAAAACCAACCGATGACATGGCTATAATTCTCTCGGGGTTGCCTGAACCCTCAGCCCTGCAGGACGTCTGACACTACAGGTAGACCTCTGTTTCCAGGAGCCCTCAAAACCCAGGTGAGCCTAGGGTATAGGTGGAAACTCAAAAGGGACTGCAGTGGGCACATCGTCAGCAGGGGTGATACAAGGCCCCTTCGATAAACTCGGCTCAAAGTATCCCTACCCCTTCGCTCTGAAAGGGAGCCGGGTCAAAGCCTCATCGCGACCCGGCGGCGGAGGACCAAGGGTGGGAGCCACCTCCTCCGCAATCCCCCGCCCCTCGGCGCCGACGCTCCGCCGCTCTTGTCGCTTCTCCATTGGCTGAGACGCTCGCCAATCCTGGTGAAGCGGACGGGCGAGCGGGCCCTGGTTGGTGGAGCCGGCGCTGAGCCTCCCTCTTGCTCCGGCCGGGCCCCCCGCCGGGAGGGGGCGTGGCCGCGGCCGTGGCCGGGCCGGAGGCGGCGTCGCGGGCGCCGCTGCGTGCGGTGTGGTGCGGGGCGGGGGGCGCCGGGCGGCCGCGGCGCGGCGGGACCATGGAGCTCGGAGCGCTGCCCCGGCGCCGGCGGCGGGCCCGCGGACCGGTGAGTGCGGGCTCCGGCCGGCCGGGCTCCCCGGTCCTGAGCCCTTCCTTCTCGGCTGCGGGCCGGGCGGCTGCCCCGGGGGAGGGGCGGGCGCGGGCCGGGCCCCCGCAGCCCCGCGGCCAAGTGAAGTTGCTGCATCGCGCCGGGCGCGCTCGGCCGGGCGGCGGGGCCCACTGCGGGCCGCGGCGCCGCCCCGCGCTTCACCCTGCAGCCCGGCTGCATCCTCTCCGCCGGCTCCCTCGCCGACCGGGGCTTCCCGCCGGCGCGGCCCGGCGGCCGTTCTCTCCCGCGCCGCCCCCCGGCTCTCGGGCTCCGGCGCTGCCCGGTGCGCGCTCCCCGGGCTGCGGAGCAGGCGCCGGCCATCCCGGCCCCAGGTGACGTGCGGGCCTTGGCTCACGCCCCATGCACGGCGCCCGCGGCTGCCCCGCGTCCGGGACCTCCACATCCCTCCGGGCTCCGCGCGCCCTCCTCCGCGTCTGGCCCAGTCCCGCGTGCCCCCCGCCCCGGGCTCCGGCCCTCCCCAGCCCCGGCTTCGCCCTCCCCGAGCCCTCTGCGCCCCAGGGCTGCGGGCCTGCGGGGCTCCCGGCCTCAGCAGCGAGTCTTGACTCTCCGAGGGCAGGGAAGGGGTCGGGCAGCCCGCGAGAGGCGTGCTGCTGGGCGAGGGGAGAGGGCTGCGCGCCCGGAGCCGCTTCGCCCGGATGGCTCGTCCCCGGGAGACTTTCCCTGCGCGGCGGGCGGGGGCCGCGGCGCCTGGCTCTCGCGCCTCCTCCGCGCCAGAGCTTCAGCGAGTGGAAAACCTTTTCCTCTCCGTCTGTGATACTTAGGGGCAATGGCGATTTCTTCTTCGTTTAATCTCCTTGCGAGGGATCGTTCCCGGGTGGAGAGCAGAGTTCTTAATTATTAAGAAGCTGAGCAATGGGCTTAGGGAGGAATGGGAGCATCTCATTTTCTTAGCTGCTATTGGACGGAATAGGAGCTCTTTCTCATTTGGGGATTAATTTTAAATTCGCGGTTACTCCCAGCAATAATTTTTGAGTTTTTGAAAACTGAAAATAAAAAAGGCCAGTTTTTGCCTTAAAGCTATCCAAATCAAATGCATAATGGGGCATGAAATTTTAATAAGATTCGGAATCCACATTTTATAAGGGGAGAGGCTAGCCATTTGAATCTTTTGCATCCTAAAAATTAGGTTTGTCTAAGGCTTAAAATGTCTGCTTGTCTATCAAAACCAAGTTCAAAGTGCTGTAATTGACTTATCTTTCTATTGCCTCTTGGGCAAATTCTGTTGAACATTGGTTGCTTGTTTTTGTATTTGCTTTACCCAACTTTCCTTTTCTAGCAGTGAAACAATGCAGTGATTCTTTAAAGCTAGTTCTTTTATCTACTTGAGAGGTTAAACAAAAGAAAGCTGGGTTTGACCTTTCCCATAGGCAGTTCTTATTGTGTGTCTGGTCTCCTTTCTAATAGCATCCACATAGTACTCATTTTTCTTTATATTTAAAGATCTTAATTTCTATTCACAAAAGCTGTGTCTTTTCAAATGTTTGAAGCTCATTAGGTTAGAAAGTTTGATTGACTTTATATATTTATGGTCTGACCTGTATTCACTGTTTTCTTGAAACATTCAAAGAAGCTTGTTCTTGAGCTCTCAACATATACAAATTGTTCTTGCACTTCCAATTGCTGACATGAAGTTGCTTTATAAATTGTTTTATCTGTTTGCTTAAAATTTATGACGTAGTAGACAATGATGTGCTCACTATTTTTAAAAATTCTGAAAATAAAGGTGAAACACTTTGCTAAGTGGTCATGCCAACATTGTAGCCTCCTAGCTATTCTCAATGTGTCTTCGTAGACATACTTTACACTTCCCATAGAAACCTGCATGTGGCGAATAACCATTTGGTTATTGGAACGTTTCTACTAAAACAACGACCTATGGTAAGTATTAAAAGAATTGCCTGTACTAGTGGGCCGCTGCTAGTGGTGTCCTTTTAGAGTTCCAAGAAGTTTCTTTGAAGAATACTTACAGATTATGTTTTCCGCTCCCATTTGCTGTTATCCTTCCCTCTGTTTTCTTGGGAGTGCCTCCACATTGTTGTACAGACCTTAAATTCTCAACTTCTCTTTTCAGTCCTTTTTTCTTTAGTACCCTGTTTTCCTCTTTGAGGCCGGGTTTTCTTGAGACCTGCCCTTGGGCATTTGGAACCAAATGTTGCTTGAGTCCATGTCTTCTTCTTCAGGAGTGGTTCTGTACCCATGACTTAATATTATGCTGGAAATACAGGAATGTTGTAGACCAGAAATGCATAAATAATGCATATTGTGAAATAAATTTACTGTCACTATGGAGATATATGGAGTAAAAAGTCTCGGTTCCCTTTTCCTCTTCTTATTGCTGCCCTTGTCCTGTTTCTTTCCCTAAAGGTAACCACACTTAATGTTATGGCATGTATATAGCCTTCCAGAATTTTTTCAGTAACCTTTTTTATTCAAAATCCACTTAGTGAACACCTCCTAAGTACCAGGCACTGTTTTTTTTCCCCCTGAGGAAGATTCCTCCTGAGCTAACATCTGTACCAGTCTTCCTCTGTTTTTTAGTATGTGGGCTGCCAGCACAGCATGGCCACTAACAGTGATGTAGGTCCACCCCTGGGAACTGAACCCTGGCTGCTGAAGCGGAGCGTGCTGAAGTTAACCACCAGGCCACTGGGGCTGGCCCAACCAGGCACTATTTTAATACTGGGATTGCAGAAATAAGAGATGAGAGCTTTCAAGATGCTCCTAGTCTACTGAGACACACAGTTTCTATGCAGTGCAATAAACGCCATGAGAGAGTCAGTCAGCAGTGAGGGCTGTGGAGCATCCATGAATGACCTAATCCATTCATTCACTGGCTTTATTCATTTAGTGTACTTCAGAGTTTATAATATGTGCTGGCGATGCAAAGATAAACAAGGCAGATACCTCTGTCAGCCCCAGATGAGCTGACTGCTGAGCTCAGGTCTCAGAGAGTTTTAACTGTTGGTCACAGTGCAGTGTAGGATAAGTGCCCTGAGAGGGGCTACCTGCAGGAGCTTGTAGGATGCCTACAAACCCAAGCTTTGGGACTATTCAGAGATGAGAGAAGCCTCCAGGAGAAGTAGGAGAAAAGGAATCCGTCAAAGTCTGGGTTGAGGAGAGTGTACAAAGTCTTGTTGGGGAGATGGTGCATTGGAGCAACTAAAAACGAAATTTAGTATGGTGGTGCAGTAGAGTGCAATGGCAGGGAAGTGGCCAGAGATGAGACAGGAAAAGTAACTAGGGGCCTGGCCACATAGGGTCTTGTGATTCCTGTTATAAGGAGTTTGAACCACTTTATGGGCAGTAGGAAATGGTTGGAGGATTCTGAGCCAAAGAAGGACAGAATCAGATGTACCCTTTGGAGAATGGATGGATAAGAGGGGGCAAGGCTGGAAGGAGGAGGTAGGATTGCTGGGACTTGGTTGTTGGTTGGATGTGTGTGTGTGCGTTTGTGTGTCTGTGATGGGGGAATTGGGAGAGTGAGGAGTTCAGGGCAGTGCCAAGTGCTGGCTGGATGGTTGGGTGGATCATGGTGCCATTCTTAGGGAGCGGGAGGGCCAGCAGCAGCCATTTTGGGGAAAAAATGATGGGTTACACTTGGCCTTGTTAATTTAAGGTGCCTGTGGGCCGTAGTGTTCAGTTGGCTACCTTAGGGATCTAGAAATTGGGAGGGGTCTGGCCTAGAGACACACATTTGAGCTGTTTGCTGAGGTGCTGCGATGAGCTCGCAGGGAGACTGTGGGATATTAAATTAAGTCGTTGAAGGAAACACAGCAATACGTGACGTGTCGAACCCTGTGGAAACTACTAGCTCAGAGTAGTTAAGTCTCTGCAGTAGGTTGCACTGCGTTCCTTTCAATGATGTCCTCGTTGTAAAGCTGGGTTTTCAGTGGTTGCTGCCCTTTGTGAAGATCAGTGTGGAACAGGAAATAAGGGAGGTGGTATCCAGTCTGACTCCTAGGTTTGCAAAGTTGTGAGGTGCTCAACACATGCACACATACCATTAGTAAATACTTGTGGTTTATTTAAGAATGGAATAAAAATACTCATTTTCTTTCAATTGAAGGGTACTTTTTTCAAATGGGTACTAAGTTGTTGGGGGCATAAATAGTTAAGTAATTAAAACTTACCTAACGATTCCATTAATCATTAGGCATTTCTTTGGCCTGAAACACTAGGCGCAGTGAACAGAGAAAATTCTAGAACCTCTGCCTTTGCCTGTATTTGTTAATGGAGGCTTTTGGAGTAGATAAGGTTATTCAAGAAGCGTGTATGGAGTGAGAAGAGGAGTGGTGTAGAAAGTGATCGGAGGAACTCTTGTGTTTAAAAGTTGGACAGGAGACTAGGCTCCCACATTGAGTCTGAGAAGGATGAGGCCTGGGGGCATGAACGGTGGCTTGGAGGCCATGGTCCAAGAGAACCTCAGCCAAGAGGTCATTAGTAATATAGGTGACAGCAATGGCGACACAGTGATGGGGACAGGAGCGAGATGGCCAGTTTGTAAGAGAACCCTCTTACATAATAGTGGGTGGGAGCAGGAAGTGGAGCCAGTGTGCGTGGACCACTCTTAGTAAGTGTGGTGGTAAAGGGTGGCTATAGGAGGGTAGGTGAAGGGGAACCTTTTCTTCCTTTAAATGGAGGGATTTGAGCATGTTAAAGAACCACGAGGGAGAGGGTGCTAGAGAGAGCTCCAGTCAGATAGTGATTTCAGAGTTTCCATTGGATTTAG